CGCGCAACATATAGAAAATCATGTTTCAAAACCACCATGCTCACCTGGAATTCCTCTGACTGTACAAGCTTTGCTTAGTCTTTATGATGATTTTAAATTAGATTTTCCAAATTTTGATTTAGCAACAGGTCTTTGTAATAACGATTCGGTCGAACATATCAATGCAAAAGTACGTGGAAGAGGTGGATTTAATGCACCTGTAGAATGCATCGATTAGCATTTCGTCATATTTTATCAACAGATTTTATTCATAGCAGTAAGAAAGGAAACGTTGTGACAGGATTCGCGTTCTTTAATAGAACAAGTAGTGAAGATATTTGTTACTTGGAAAATCCAGCAAAAATTAGCCCACGACTTAGATTTACTTGAGGACGGATCAAAGGAATTGAAGGGCATTCAGGAAATCATTCGAGCTGCTGATTCAATGAATTTGTATATTAACGTAGATTCCAGTGGGAAGCCTGCAATGGCGCTATGTTTGAATCAAATGCGATAACTTTCTTTGCTGGTTATATAGCTAAAAATGTTTAAGTAAATGTTCCTGTCTTGAATGTAAAAAGGTTTTGATAAAAGATATCAACTCGTCAACTACAGATAATAAACAATATATTAAATACAGAGAGTATTCGCATTCGAATCCAGACACGCCAGAAATCATATACTTGACGAGACAAACAGAATTTTTTGCCAATGTAGTAAATTGGCAATTAGAAGCATCTGACATGTATCATGAAAGTGTATGGCATCAAAGAAAATTGTTGTTTCATTTTTTAGAAATTGTTCAAACATAGACTCGTGAAAAATTCCCAGATTGGTTCGATCAAGACAACATATATTATGAACGTAGAATACATGCTCTAAAGTTTTTATTAATAGTTAAAATTTTTGGTAAGACGCGCGAGCATAACAGCGTTACAAAACAGCCATATAGGAAAAATATTATTAGTAAAAACTAGGAATTAAAGAAAATTACAAATGTCTAATCATACATTTATTTCTAGTTGAATTTTCTTAGTTTATTAGACATAAGACTTGAAAATAAGGCCAGGACTTTATTTAAAAAAAAATCCGATCTGGCTTCCTTATCGAATTATGGGTGACAAGTTGAAAAATAAATGTTATTCTTGGTTATTACACCGTTTATTAGTCGTTCTTAAAATTTTTGCAGAAAGCGTAGCTCATAGATATTTGTCTTTTTGAATTGGAAATTTATCTGAAATCTTGTTATTGTAGAGGTACAGTCAAAACTAACTTCTGTAATAAGTACAAATTTAACGTAGTTGCCAAAATTAGGGATATGATCAAGCTGTTCGATAGACCCATTTTTTTCTTCGAAACAGGTATATCTTGTTTTTCTCGATATTTCTTACGGATTTTGAATCTCAATCCATTGATTTTTTGAGTTGATGCACTAATTCGTTCGAAACATTTTTGGGCTCTTTAAAATCTTGTAGCATTCATAGTTTTTGCGCCAAAAAATGATTTTTGTTTTCTTGCTATTTATCAATTTCAGACATTAACTGCAACAGTCGTAGTAAGTGATAATGTGTTTTTTATAATAAATTAACTGTCAAACGTTTTATATTTTTTAACTGACCGAAATGGTCAAAGTTTTAGGCCCAGTCGTCTTTTGGAAACGGGTTCGTCGAAATTGTGATCATAAAAAATCTCACGAAAAGAAAAAGCGAGTTTTTAACAAAATTCGGCCCTGACGAATGTTTTGTTAATGAAAAACTTAATGAACGTCTAAAATTTTCCGTTGCCAAGAGAACAGAAATCACTTTTTTGCTCAAAAACTATAACTGGTTCAAAATGTTATAGAGAGGACAAAAATATCAAAAGAGTATATGAACTATGAAATGTAAATGGGATTTGTTCGCAGGTTCGCAGTGTTTCTGACTGAATAGCGAAAATTTTTGTGACACACCGAATTGATATGGATGTTGAAAAACTAATACTTATTGTCTTATATATGAAAGAAAGTCGTTGTGGGATATCAGCGAAAAATGATGGAATTCTCCAAATTGTTTTCGTTCATGGCAACGTTATCATCATTCGTTATCAGCAAGCCAATAGTTTTTTCTTTTTAACTTTAATCGAATTCTGGCGAGATAACTATTTTCCAAAAGAAAATCATCCATTATTATTAACAGTTGTACAGTTACGATGAATAAATTACCGCGAATAAATGTGGTTATTTGACACAACATTCACAATTTGTACGATAAGAAAAGTTTCAGGTGACGAGTTCATAGTTCGGGGTGCCCGCCGCAGTGGCGCAATGGTAGATTCCGGTACACTTTTTTAACACGGGATCGGCAATCTCTCAACTAATCTCTGCTATTAGTAACAAATAATCTAGTACCAAGATTAAACACCTGTAATGTAAAGCTTTACCTTCTTATATTTTACAACACTTTTTGTTTGTTGTTGAGTGGAGTTGTTTAACGCACACGTTTGTTCGTATTTGCTTTTCTCTTCTAATCTCGACACTGTGATTCTTTAAAAAATTCGAAATCATAGCAAATATTTTAAAATATAAATAAGTCTGAAACACGAACTTTAAAATGAGAGAAAAGTGAAAGTAAATAATTAAACGATCATCTTGTTTACTGAGCTAAGGTTTGACAGCTTTAACAAAAACAAAAAATGAGAAGTCAATGAACAACTTTTGAATCGAAGCTCAAATTGTAAATTTTTTTTCTGTTTTTGTTTTTTTTATTGCCGTGGTTTTGATTAACTTCTCCTACGTTGTTAACGAACCTTCCCACGTGTTTTTATTAATTGCATCCCTACGGTACCGATTTTATCTCATTTTTATTCGAACCTTAATTTTCGGTCTTGATGTTGCTTGTGCATTTTCACATCAGAAACGTTTTTTTTTATTTCCAGCATATTTTCCGACTCACCTTTATGCCATTTATTAATGTTACCCTTATTTATTTCACTTTGCCAATCGAAACTAAAATTTTTTTTACGCAAATTTCAATGGTATTTTGGGGTATAGACAAACAAGTTTAATACGTTTGTTAGATGTACTTGGGAAATGAAACTTCTAGGCACTAAACCGTAAATCCTTAGGCATCGTTCTCTCCACATGCTTTTCATAATATTGTATATCAAGAGTTTTTTTCACTTTTTTTGTTTACAGCCGCAATCCAACAATGTATGATCCGAGGCCGGAATCGAGGCCTCGCCAACATGATGTGAATGCAAGTCATGTGGGCGTTAATAATCGAAGGCCTACTAATTCGAGACCAGGCGAACATTTCAGTCTCAACATGCTCCTACGAATGGCCAAGGCCATGGCCAATCCTATGCCGACGGTCGTCCTCAGACGCATCTTCCTGCGCAGCCTCAGGCCCGTCCCCAAGCCGATGGAGGCTCGTCAAAGATACATGTCCAAGAAAATCTGAACATAAGACCAGGTCCATCGGGAATCGGCCCATTGCATCCTCTAAAAACTGCTGTACGACCAACTCCTTACCTCTTGCAACCCAGCAATCAGCCAATGGTAAGTTAATAAGGATGGAAATTATTTATTAATTTAATTAAGTACAAATAGGTGTACAACATCAACCGCAGTTCAATTCTATTAAAAATCGTATAATTAACACGGTTAATCTAAATTAGTTGTTGGATTTCTGCGTAAATATATTAGTGTAATTTAGAAATATGGTTTTAATTTAGAATATATTTTATTTAGATCATAATATTTAGAATACAGTTTCTATATATTTTGTTCACGCTTTCACTGCGCCAGTATGGTATTTAGACCACCCAGAGAGATGCACCCCGGCACGCGCAGGGTAGTTAAACCACTGACCTGCTCTGGCGGCATTTTCGGTTATTTTGTTCAGTCTTATCCGATCCCTGCAAGCTAGCAATTACTTATATTAAGTTTTGGTTTAAGTTTAATTTAATAAATACATTAATTTGAAAGTGTCTGCTATTTACTTTAACAATAGTAAAATATGGAAATGGATTCTAACGCAATGACTTAGGCTTGGGCAACTCAGTGAAATTTTAGGAGTTGGCTCAATACTACGGAAATGGCTTGGTGCGCCAACCCAACGCACCGGCGCAGTAACTCAGTTTCTTTGCTGGGAAAATGCTGATTACTTTTTTTTACTTGTTCTTAGATTTATTGTATGGGCCATTTATTAATAATATTTTTAAAGTTTCTTCAAAATTTCAGAATTTTCCAGTTTTAACCAAGTTACTCTTTCATCTGAATGCTCAATTTTCAAAAGTTTCAGTTAAAAGTGCCTTAAGACTGTCGGTCTTAAGGTTTTCTCCGCGAAAAATTATGAAATAAGTTTCGAATCCTTCTAAAAAGTTTTGATGTTTTTCTGTTACATGGTTGCTATTTATCTAAAAAAAAATGACTAACCGTAATCATTAAACAATACTAAACAGTCTTGATGAATTGTTTGTACACAAATGAACTGCATTGTTGCCGTAGCACTCAACATACCGCCCCCTTTGAAACCCTTTGAGGGTTTAAATAGAACATTTACGTCACTGGTTGGACACTAAGCTTGGACACGGGTCGTTGATAGCTGAGAGAGGCAATCTTCAAAATGACGTTTCTGACAATTCCGTCGGTACCAGGAAACAACTTTGTAATACGGCCAACTCGCCACTTTAATGGCGGAAGTCCTTCTTCACAAGTACGAAAAGCCCAGGTTTTAGTAATGAGGTGTAGTTGGTTTTCCATTTCGCACGAATCTGCAGCTGAGATACGTATTACTTCGGCCATCTTGACCAAAAATGCTGCACGATTTGTTTGATATGCAAATACTTTGACAGTATTCGTTCATTGGTGCCCAGTAGATTCCTTTGTGGTGTGGTTTTTAATGGTTCCCCAATCAAAAAATGGGCCGGTGTTAATGGATTAGGATCATCAGGATTGTTAGAAATTGGATAAAGTGGGCGAGAATTAAGGCAACCTTCAACTTGACAAAGTATTGTAAGAAACTCCTCGAACGTAAATAGTGTGTTTCCCATAACCCGTTTGAGGTGATATTTTACAGATTTTACCCCCGATTCCCACAAGCCTCCGAAATGAGGTGATCCTGGTGGTATAAAACTCCAATCAACACCTTCATTAGCCAAACTGTCAACAATGCAAAAGAAACTTTGATTCAAAAATAATTTCAATTCATTATTTGCACCAATGAATGTAGTGCCTTGGTCCGAGAAAGTTTTGATGCGCTTGCCTCGTCTTCACATAAACCTTTGCAAAGCTGCTAAGAAGCAGTCGGTTGTAAGAGAGGTAACTAGTTCTAAGTGTAAAGCCTTAGTGGCAAAGCAAATAAATAAGGCTACATAAGCTTTCAGTGTCTTACAACCTCTTCCTTTTCTGTCCTTTATTGAAAATAAACCAGCGTAATCGACCCCACTCACGGAGAAAGGGCGGGACGGTGTTCTTCGATCTTTAGGTAATAAACCCATTAAATACTGAATAGGTTTTGCATTCAATCTAAAGAAGGTGGTACACTCGTTATAAATCCGTTTACAAATATTACGACCATTGATAGGCCAGTATCTTTCACGTAAAGAAGCTAGTAAGAGCTGAGGAGCAGCGTGAAGCGACTTTAAATGTTCGCGTTTCACTATCAAATTGGTAAGACGGTGTTTAGCGGGCAGTATTATAGGATGTTTTTTTATCAAAATTGCAAGGTAAATTTTGAATTCTACCCCCAACTCTAATTAAATGATAATCGAAGTCAAAGATCGGATTTAAACGTATTAGTTTTGATTTATCACTGATTGGTTACGCAGTTTGGTAGTGCTAGAACCAATCTTTATTACTGAATGATGGAGTAGGAAAAAGCCAATATCAGATTGACTAGATAATGGCATGTGTCCTAAAGCCAAGTATTATTTTACAATATTGTGGTATTGTCGTTTTAAGTCAGGATTTTTCTCATGCTTGCTTTCTAGTTTATAAAATCTTTGTAATGCGTTTACTTTAGAATCACCAAGCTTGTCAGAAGAACATTTTAATGGTAGACGGGCGGTAAACTTGCCATCATCAGCACGAGTTATGTGTTTCATGAAATGTTGCTCACAATAGGCCTCTTCAGGTGATAATAATTTAGAAGTGTGAATCTCTTCATGCTTCCAAAATCGTTCAAGTTGAGATTCTAATGTGTTAGAGAAGTAACAAGTTACATGATTAGTTGAGGAAGTGTTGGTTTTAAGTGGAGCTGACACAATCCATTCAAGTTGTGTTTTTTGTAAGATAGGAAGCCCTTTTCCTAACTGTATCTGCCCAATATTAAGGAGTTCCCAAAGCAAATCAGCTCCTATAAGTAAATCTATAGGACCGGAACAGTTAAAGTCAGGTTCTCCAAGTACAATGTGATCAGGAATCGACTGAATGATGCCATGGGAATGTTACTTGTTATTGTAGGTAATACCAAGCACGAAAGTCTAGTTTGATATTTGCTATTGGAAGAATAGATGTGTACTTGAACCCTTTCATTAATTTGTAAAGCCTTTTGGTCAATACCTGACACACAAAAGGACAATTTTTCGGAAGGTAACTTCAACAAGTTGCAAAGTCTTTCTGAAATAAAGTTTGATTGGCTACCATTGTCCAATAGTACCCGACAAGTGTGTAGTTTGTTAGAATAATCACAAACCTTAACAATGGCTGTCGAAAGTAGTACTTGGTTTGTGAATGTGTCACTACTTGTTAGAGTTAAAGTATTATTAGCATGCAGTGTGTTTGCCATAGTGTCATGTTCAAGTAAAGTGGTTTTCACCTCACCATTATTATTTGAAGTGATTTGTGTGTTAGTATGTGAGGACTGTGATGAAAAATGCAGTAAGGTATGATAAATATGTTTACATTTTTTACATCCAGATGAGCTACACTGTTTTGTCATATGACCAAAACGCAAACAGTTTATGCAAAGCTTGTTGGATTTAGCAGAATTTAATCGTTCAGTTGGTGAAAGCTCTAAAAACTTGGGACATAAATAAATCAAGTGATCCTTTTTACAAATTGTGCAGCATGTAGTGTCAGCAACAAACAAGGATTTTGAGTTTTCCCGTGTAAAATTGTGTTTAGTGCTTTGAACATGTTTGTTTGTTTCTGCTAATGTTTCATTTTGAGACATATAGTTCATAGCTTCCAAAATGACTTCGTTGACAAAATTATCAGCTTCCCAGGCTCGCCTTGTTGTTTGGTAGAATTTTGATGAGATAATATGGATGATTAACGCATCCCAATGCTCGGTGGGGGATTTTAAGCACCTTCAAAGCATCAATTTGTTTTTGCAATCCGTCAAAAAGTGTTCGCAAGCCTTGAAATGATTCTTGATCAAGAGACGGTAAGTTTATGATTGCACTAATGTGATTATTAACAAGTAAGCGTTTATTTTCGAAGCATTTGTAAAGTAAATCCCAAGCAATCAGATAATGATCGTTAGATATTCCAAGGCATGAAAGTAAATCAAGTGCGTTACTCTTTAAAGCTAATCTAAGATAGTGGAATTTTTGAATGTTTTTTAGATTATTATTGGCATGAATCAGTGAAATAAATGTGTCTTTAAAAAAGACCCTTGTGTCATAGGATAAATCAAAGGTGGGTAAGTTTATAGCAGGTAGTTTAACAGAAGAAAGGTCAGTTGTATTTAAAAGTGGTGTTGAACTATTAATATCATGATGAATACAGTGTGTCTGATAATGATTTGATTGTCCCAGAAGTAATTGAGTAAAAAGCATTTTCAAAATCCATTCTAGTTTTATTATACTCCTCTGCATTACTATCATAATCTGAGTCAGATAATTCAATTCTCGATTGAACCTCATTGAAATCATCCAGCAAACCTTTAGCTTTAGATAAACGCAAACTCAACGGAGTCCAAGTCTTTTATACTATTAAAGTATGTCTCAAAGCGTGTTAAGCCACTTTTAATACATGCTCTTTTAGTTTTATCTGTCATTGTTGACAGCAGGATTTGTCAAAAAAAGTGTGTAGATTTATTTAACAAAATTGGTGTTAAAATCAAATTCAATGAATCAAAAGAGAAGATAAGTTCGAGATTATGAGGAGAAACATTATGCTTGTTGATTTGTCTCAATACAAAATACAAGTCAAGTGAAACTTACCTTGGGTGTTGGATAAATGTAAACAAGGATGTGGGAACTGTAGTCTTCACTGTGCCGCAATAAGGGCAGCTTGTAGAGGCAAAACCAAAATTGTCAGGATAGGTGCTGGAACGGAGAGCTCAAGACCTGTTTCCGCCGGCAAATAATGACGAAGTCCGAAATATCCGGGGTCGGAGGACCAATATGTTGGGATATGATGTCGAATATTATTAGAACTTCACGTTAAAAAGCAATCTTTTAAATTGGAGAAACCATGGGGGCTCACTCAAATAGTCAAGGTCAGACCAAGATTTTGATTGTCGTCAGCGCCACCTAGGCCCTGCTTACAAGGCAACTTACTCATAAATGAACGGAACATCCCCGAGGGGGCGCCATGGCGACGTTTACAGCGTGGGAGCTGATTTCAAAGATGTTGATTTGCATTTTTCGCGAGGCGTCTTTTTTGGCATCAGGGAAAGGCGTTGTTTCTTGCACAAGTTTTTTGCTTTCTGCGACCAATAATTTATTAAAACATGAGTTTTAGACCTTGTTGTGTGCCTAGCAGTGCAATGATATTTGTTCTAAACGGTAAGCTTTTGCATTACTAGAACTATTTACATATTGATTGCTAGAGGACGCCAACATGTTGCATGGTCTCATACTTTTTTCGTAATTGAATTATAACACAATATTTTCAGGTGTTCATTTCCTAGAAGACTCGTATGTCTTCTTTAAAGATTACTACATACGTTATTCACTCTACATACTACATATATTTCGAAGGTTTCCAAGGTGCTGCTTCCATAGAGAATAGCTTCCTGGCAAAAGACGCTTGGTGCAACCCATAGTCAAACTATGCGATATTCCTGGACCATCGGTTGAATGTTAATTGTAAGGAAGTGAGATGTAGATTTAGCAACCTATCAATTTTTAGACTCCAAAGACACTCTTTCCAGGGAGAGCAGATCAAATCACACAGCATCAGCACCTGAATTGCGTACTCCGAAAAAAATTAAAGGTACGGTTGTATTAAAATGAAAGTACTTTAATAATTTCTATTTATGTGCATAGATGATATTCTGGACAGCCCTTTTACAGCTGTCACCAGTACAAATTCTGCAAGGGCCACACAGTTTCGAGTAAGTACATATTATCCTACTAATAACATATTTTTTTCTTTTTAGGGGTAAGGAGACTTAATTTGAAAGCAGTAGGAGTTACACAGCAGAAGCATTTGTCGCCTCGCAACAAAATTTTGTATTAGGGCGTAAAGAATTTGGTACATCGCCAATAGGTGAGAAACCTATATGTAATTATGTTATCCATACACATACCTAAATATGTATCTGCATTAGTAATTGTACTAAATTAATAAATTTGTTTTGTTACTTTGAATTAGGTATTTATTTAATTCCTGAATTTTTGATTCATAACATGATTTTGCTTCTTGAGCAAATGTTTCTGATTTCTATAACAAACACCTTTCACAATATTGAGTGAGTGGGCTATCTATAGTTGTCTTCATCTATGCTGGCAACGTGGTGGTTGCCCCACCTTCACGGACCACCGTTATTGATAAGAATGGACGAGGGGTGGACCTAGCAGGGTCACCCAGGCGACACCAAAACGCGCACCGCACCTTTTGTTCAAATTTAACCGGAGTAACCCGGAGCTCAGCTGACTGTCGGAATTGGCGCGCATTTTAAACCACTTTGTGACTGATAAAATCCATCACATGGGATTTGAAATTGAAAAAGTGGCTGACTTGATAATTTCTTGAAACTGTTCGTTGCTGTGCTTTTATCACCTAGTTATTGCTTGCTATCAACCATATAAGCTGTAACATATATAATAGTATTATAGTGAGCGCATTTATAGGAAAATAGTAGATAGTAGCCCTATTTTTTAATAAGTTTGTGCACGTTGCATGGTGTTAACCAGAGTCGTTTGAGTGCTTGCAATTTAATTGTCTGTTAGTTTAATTAATAGCGTGTATTTCAATTTTTTTAATCGCTGGAAATGGAAGGTAAATCGGTTTGTGAGTACTGTAATAAACATTTTTCCACTCCCAGTTCGAAGACCAGGCATTTAAAAGATATTCATAAACTTGTTACTGAAGACAAAACGAGGAAACACATCTTATGTCCTTTATGTAAGGACGATAAGAATCTGGCAACATTTGAAGATATTAATGAGCAACTGTTGGAAACACATCAGGTAAAAGTAGAGGAAATTTATTTTAAATTTCCCAGCAAGGAGGAATATGATAAATGGAGCACGAGTGAAAAAATTGAAGCCAGCTATTTCGTTCTGAGGAAAAAAAATGACAAAGTTTCAAAACGCATATATTACTGTTGCAACCGAAGCAATCTCAGAGGTATTAAATAGTTTAAAATGTTTGGAAATATATAGATAAATGCATATTTTTGTTTCGTATTCTAGACTGCGAGAGTAATTGTTCTTTAAGGACTCAAAAATCAGGAGGGACTATTAAAATTCATGGTGTTTGTTCGTCTCGTCTCACTTTAAAAATAAACAAAAATGGCAAATTTAATTGAAATAAATACACACTTACGTTATTATATTGAATATATACTTTTCCTTCCTTGCAAATTCTAAAAATCCGTATTTTTACGAAAGCGTGAAGTTGAGTATTACAAAACCCATGTAGGTCATTTTTCAAAGGTCAAAATTTTTGTCTTTTAGAAAAGGTTGAATTCGCTGAACCCGAAAGATCTTCACTACTTAGCAGCAAAGAATGGATTCAATAAAATAATGCATAATGACAAAATGATGGCGGTAACGTTGAAGATTCAAGAATGGAATAGCACTGGCAAAAATTATGCATTTCTCTGGAAACAACAAGGTAGCAATTTAGTTTAAATGGAAAGATTTAGCTAATCACCTTTATTCATTGTATAAGTGCCTATTCAAAAACATATTTAACATTTCAAGTTTAACATATTTGAAATAGGTACTGATAAACCATTATCTTAAATCAAGTACCTAGTTGTTTTAGGTATTTTGTAAATTACTTGAATCATATAAAATATATTGTTGTTGTCTTAATATGGCTACTGAAAATATGAGGCAAATGTTATAACTTTTTCATTTTTTGGCATTATCGCTTAATTGTTATGTATTTTAGGTGTGGCTCATCCGCGCCTAAAAGACGATGATTTTGCAGTGGGTTTCATAAACAAAGTCATGAAAAGTAAGCTAATTCAGTTTAGCAGTACAATTTGTATGGATGGAACCCACTGCACAAATAAGAAGAAGTTGGATTTGACGATTGTGCTCGTCAAAGACGAGAGAAATGCAGCATTTGGACCGGCAGAAATTTAAAAAACTAACAGAAAATTACTTTAGCAAATTGAAAAATGATGAAGATATATTTTTGAACTATTTACAAAAGTAATTAAATTCTATACACGAATGACTTTTTGGGTGATTTTCATAGCATTTTTTTAGATATTATTTCCAGAATGAAGCCAAAATCAGCATGTGGGCACACTGCTTCAGAATCGGCGCTGGAATCAACATCAACATGGCATTGGAAAGTATGAATAATTTTTTAAATATAAACCAACTGAAGAGGAAAGCTAATTTTACGGTGGATACATTATTGGACAAATTGGATAATCTGGTGGATGCGAAAATGTGGAAAAGGGTGACAAATATGAATAGACCAAATGCAAATAATTATCAAGATAGGATCACCACAAAGCCTCACAAAATGGCGGAGAAAATGAATACAAACTTAATTCAGGAGGTAGGTTTCGGGGAATTTAAGATAAAATCTGCGGCGAGTGATCGATCATATACAGTAGCATATAACATGTTGTGCGATAATGAATGTAGGACTTCGTACTGCAGGGTTTACAAAATATGTATTCACCGGTATAAGTGCAAGTGTCCAGATTATTTAGTTCGGACCAATAACTGCAAGCATATTCATTATGTTTGTATGTTTGTGTTGAATAAAAATATGTAATTTTTAATGTCTTAGCATAAGTTAGGTATAGCTTTCTCAAATGTGTTGCATGTGTTTGGGTCCTCAGGTAGCATCATATGTTTAGGGATGCACTGACCGCTGCGACGTTGTAGTTTTTAGTAAA